TGCTCACCTTCTCTGAACACGTAAGAATACGGTGGAGGTCCCAGCAATGCGACTATTTCTTCAACGCTTCTGATTGGCTGAATAGCACCCAATTGTCTCCCAGGAATAGTGTTGGCAAACTTGGGACTCGAATTATAACTCCCTTGAATTACCGCGAAAAGTGAGAAGCAGCAGAATAAAACTGCTGATCTGGAATCGCAAAGATCCAAACTCTTCCTTGACCCCTTCAAAGCTGCCATTCTTGGCCTTCACATCCGGATTCTGAAATCGTATCGAAATCAGAAGTTTTTTTGTTGTCGACTCCATACTTTGAAATCATTTGAAAGCTTTCAACAATTTAGTTTTGGGTCTTCATCATGGAAAAAAGGACCAACACTGAGACCCTGACTCCCTGAGATATGCAGGCATAATTGGTGCATCAAGAGTGTCCTGATGTCCGAATGTCTGTAAGTCCAGTCTCATTTTTTTTGTAGACTTCGAAGCTCATGTATTCAATTGGTTCTCATCTTTGTCAAAAATAAGAAAAAATTAAACAAAAAATTAAACAAAAATTGTTTTTCTCAACTTCAAGTTGTAGAAAACAAAAGTGCAAAACAAAACCACATAGTATATACTCTTTTGGTATCAAAAGGAGATCAAAAAGCAAAGGAAAAGAAGAAGTCTTGCTAGAATTCAATATGCACAGATGATAAAAAAAAAAATCCAAAAAAAGAAAAAATCTGCTTTGATTTTAATGATGAATTAGAGTGAATTCATTATGTAATATTTTTTACATTTTTTAAAACATAAATAGCTTGATTTTTTCAAAAGGTGTCAAAATTAAAAAAAACAAAACTTTTCAATTTTTTGGGAAATTTTCAGAAAAGTGCCCCTAACTCCAACATTTGGATATGCATTCAAATGCAGCCAAAACAGCACATCCAAAAATCAGGATTTTGTCCAAAAATCAGGATTTTGTCCAAAAATCAGGATTTTGTCCAAAAATCAGGATTTTTGAACTCGTCTGGCAGTTTACGTACGAAGGCCACTCGAAATATACAGTACAAGGGTTGTCTCACGTCAACTGAGGCTTTGGTATTCCTATAGAACTGATACCACTGCAAATAAAAATTTATCTCAAATTAATTATATCAAATGTATTTATTAAATCAAAGCTATAATAAATCACGAATATAACTCCTGTAGTGTATTCTTTATTTTAAACTAAGATAACATCATTTCATCGATGTAAAATACTGCACGTACGTGGCATCATTCTTGGTTGAAGCCTGAAAAAGAAAGAAAAATTTTAATTGATATAGCCGTCTGCTAATATGTATCACAAACGATTTATAAAAGAAACTCCTAGAACAGTATTTATGCAGGAAACAAAATGAGCACCCTTCTAATATCGTAACTTGTCAAAAATACGGCGAACACTTGTCTTTAATATGTGGACGTTTTTGTAAAGCACCGCTTTTCACATCATGCACTCGAACCAAGCACTGCGTTCCACTACCATTCGATGATCAACAAGAAGCTCAACATAGAGGATTTCCGAATGTTCGGGATAACACTTCTGGAGAAGGAAAAAATTCACGGAAAATACTTTTTTTGTTTCCGAAGCACTCAGGGGAAATCGCTCTTGGTCTGCGAACTGAACTCCAGCACAGCAAGTTTAGACATCATCAAAAAGTACGTAAAGTGTCGCACAACACCCCGTACTAACTGAGTTAACGCCCCCATTCACTGAGATAAACTCAGTGAATCGTCACTGAGTTTTGATTCCAGCTGAGACTAGCTTCGCTCCTAAACAAAACCGTGCCCCTCTTCCCTCGCCCTTTCATTCACATCCCGCCATTGCTGTATATAATACCCACCTCCCCGTTTCTCGTGGTCGTCGTCAACGTCGTCAGTGTTGCCGACGCAGGCGCCCAGCACTGCCAGCCAAAAAAAGAAAGCACCCCTCTGGCCCCATCTGCTTTCATGACGGCATTGAAGGAACTGAGCGCGGCTAATGCGTCACCGCCCAACTGAACGCCAGGGAAAATTGAGCACAACCCTAACTGACCAAAGCTTCTATATACAGTCAACCCCCGTCTAATGGACTTGATTCGTGCAAGGGACGAGTCTGTTAGATGAAAAGTCCTTTACATGAATTCAATTACATAAAAAATTTCAATTTTCAACAAGAATTTTAAACCAAAAGAAGTCTGTTTGGTGGATTTTGTCTGTTGGGCGGGAGGAAAAACTGCTTGCAGAGCTGGTCTGTTTGGCAAAAATCCCTTACACGGGAGGTCTGTTAGGCAGGGGGCCACTGTATACAGCTTTCTAATTTTTTTGAAAAAGACATTTCAATATAGCTGCTTTAATGGTACTTAACTTAATTTTTGCAAAACATTTTTGTTTGGAAGACTGTAATGCAGGTATTTTTTAAATGTAGTCTGGAAATTTGCTGGTCTGGAGGTCAAAAAAGGTTGGGGAGCATTGGTTTGTTTCATGCTTTGAAGTGATTAAATGTCTTTGAGGGCCGGATTTGGGTTGGGTGAGGAGGGGGTTGGATGTGGAAATCTTGATTTTACCTTGTGAATGCTGGAAAGCAGCAAATAAAGTGTTCTGTTCATTCATTCATTCATTGGGGAGCACTGAATTAGAGTAATTTTGTAATGTGTCCGTCATGTGTTCATACAGCTTAGGTGCCCAGCCACACCTGACCTGAGAATCAAAATTTTCCATAATTTTTAGGAAGTTCAAATTTCTCAGCAACCACACCTGCACTTTCTCACAAGATCAAGTTCAAAAAATATTGAAATTTTGAAATATGCAATTAATTTTTTTAGAAATGTTGGAAAGGGTATGTATCCTGACACACTGTCCAGATCAGGGGTGCCCAAGATACGGCCCGCGGGCCACATCTGTCCCGCAAAGGCTTTTCATCTGGCCGGCAGAGCCAGCATGGAAAATCGCCACCCCAAAAATAAAACCATCAGAAGTGAAAATTGTGAAATTTGCAAGGCATCTTCAGTCAGCAATTTTGATAAGGAATTGCAATAAATTTTCACAATTCTTATGATTATTCCTTCTGATAAGAAAGACCAATAGAACAGTATGTATTTGTTTGTGATGTCAGTGGTTCTGCTTTACAGATTAAAGGGCATTGTTTTTTTTAATCTTTGATTTTAAATACTACACCAGCATTTTCTGCTGTGTTTTAATTTAAGTGCATCTCTTGGAAAGGGAAATACTGTACATACCATAGCTTATAATTTTTGAAAAAGCATAAACAAAATTAGACCATCAGTTACAATTGCAAATTTGAAAGGATATGGACAAATCACAACAGCCAATTTGAGACTGGACAAATTGATGCAGAAAATTTGAGCCAGGATCAATTTGAGACAGGGGCAATATGAGACTAGACCAATTTGTGACAGGGCCAATATTTGAAACAGAGGGACAATTTTAGACATGGTCATTCAGAAACAAGAACAATTTGAGGCTCTCCCAAAGCAACTATGTGCACACAATATTTGTTCAACACTTATTTTCTGGTCTTCTCCAGATTCTTGGTTAATCTTGGGGAATTTTCAATTGCACTAAAATTTCTGGTTTTCTTGAGATTCCCATTTCCT